GCACAGCAGCAACAGGCAAGAGAGAGCTTTTCCTGATCTGAGGAGCTGATTTTCTTTCTTTGAACTTCTAAGCTGGTGAATTATAGAAAGAGATTTGGCCCCAAGTATATTGGCCCAGGTGGGGTGATGCACACCTGTAACCCCACAACTCGGGAGTGTAAGGCAGGGCCATGGAAGTCAAGGCCATCCTCAGCAGCTTACTGAGACTCTGTCTCAAAATACAATTTTCAAGGGTCTGGGGATGTGACCTGATGGTCCAGTGTCCCTGGGTTCAATTCCTAGTACCCGTCCCCCCATGCCCACCCTTACACAGAGACAGAGTTGGCCAGATTCCCTCTCGATATACAATGCTGAGTTCATGAAAAACCTTACAGGGATTTCCCTGGTTCAGTATTTTCTGTAAAGTTGAGTGAATTGGAGCTGTGTGTGTCCTGAAGGGGTTTTGCTTTTGGTATTGGGCCTGAGCCCTGAGCCTCAGAGTGGCCGGGGATCACTCTATGCTGAGCCGCATCCTGGCCTGAGGTTTGAGAGAACTGAGAGAACCGTCTGTCAACTGTGCGGCTGTGGTCATTTTCTGGGGCGGGTGGGGGTGGGGTGGGGAGGACTCCTTGGTGACTCTCATTAATGTCCATCTGTTTTGAGAAGCCCCTCTATTTCTGGCTTAGGTTGGTCATTTGTATTTCGCTAGAAAATAATTCAGTTCCTCCAGGTTACAGAATGTAGAGACTCGGGGTGATTTTCCTTTCCCTTGTGCTCTGCCCTCCTCCTCCTCCTCCTCCTCCACTGTGTCCTCCTCCTCCTCCTTTTCCACTATGTCCTCCTCCTCCTCCTCCTCCACTGTGTCCCCCTCCTCCTCCTCGTCCTCCTGCTCCACTGTGTCCTCCTCCCCCTTCTCCTCCTACACTGTGTCCTCCTCCCCCTTCTCCTCCTACACTGTGTCCTCCTCCTGCTCCACTGTGTCCTCCTCCTCCTCCCCCTTCTCCTGCTCCACTGAATACTCCCCCTTACCTCCTCTTCTCCTCCTCCTCCACTAGACTTGAGGTTTAAGGAGAATTTAGAGCAATCGTGGGAAACAGGACTGGGTGTGGCAGGTGAGGGGGAGGCCACAGGTCAGGGCGAGGACCAAGAACCTCATGAGGGGACCCAGCAACCCACAGCAAGGAAAGGAGGTGACAGGGGAGGTGGGGACAGGAGAGGTGGGGGACAGTGTTAGGACTAGGCCAGGGACAGCATCCTGATGAAAGAGGGCTGGGGTTGACATTCATTACTAACTACTTAATATGTGCCAATTTTAGTGATTTGTGCTTTTCTGGAAAATCACACATTCATCCAGGTTACACATTTATTTACAGAGAGTTTCTTTTTGGGAAGGGGCACTAGGGATTGACTCAGGGGCACTCTGACACTGAGACACATCCCCAGCTCTATTTTGTATTTTATTTAGAGACAAGGTCTCACTGAGTTGCTTAGCACCTTGCTTTTGCTGAGGCTGGCTCTGAACTTGAGATCCTCCTGCCTCAACTCCCAAGCCCCTGGGATTATAGACACGCGCCATCACACACGGCCTATAAATTCTACAAAGTCCCCTCTGGACCCTTAACTCTCTCTACCTGTGATTACTTCCTCTCTCCATTTCTCATTTGGACTAGACAGGGGTTACCTGGTTTTGTGGGGTCACATCTGATGGAGCTCCTGTTTTCTTGGTCAAGGGCACTGAGCAGCAGCATTTCCTGAGTGTCACTAACATGACCTGCAGACGGTTGACAGCCAGGACGGCTCTTTCCCTCCTCCCTCCTTTGTTTCCTGGGGCTGGTGGAGCCTGGGCCTGCTGCATGCTGGGCAGCCTCTCCACTGACCTGGCCCCATCCTAACATGATCTTCCATGAACCCCCCAGATGCCATGTCAGGTTGGCATGGTCACCCACCACTTTGTGGCTGGCATCTGAGGTGCAGAGAGGTCAGGCCCTTGCCCTGAGCACACAGAGGATGCAAACTAGAGCTGAGGTCCGAGCCTGGGTTCATCTGAGGACCCTGTGGCTTCACCTCGGCAGTTGCTACTGAGCTTCTCAGAGAATGTCCCACCTGTGACAGTGTCACAAGGGCTTCTCTGCAGGGGACCTCACCCCAAGGCTGGGAGAAGGGGTCCTACTGGCCCTGGCAGAGGGATGCAGGGGCTACTGGGCAGCTGTGGGCAGCTGTGCTCTGAGGGTGCGGCCACAGTGGTCTCCCTGTGCCAGGCGCAGCAGGCACTGAAGGGAGGAGGAGGAGGTCGGGTCCCCCGGGGCTGTGCACTTGGGGGTCCCACAGTCTCAGGTGGGGGATGTGCACTCAGGGGTCCCACCGTCTCAGGTCAGGCCTAAGGTCCTGAAGGCCTCCAAATTTTGTTTTTCAGACTGTGTTCCTCTGAGTGGCCCCAGCAAGGTGACAGGCATCGTGGGAGGATCCCTGATGGTACAGTGTCAGTATGGGGAAATGTTCAAGGACAATGACAAACTGTGGTGCAAAAAATCAGTTTTCTATTGTTATGATATTGTGAAGACTAGAGGCTCAGAGGGAGAGGTGCGGAGCGGCCGAGTGTCCATCAGCGACCACCCTGCAAACCTCAGCTTCACAGTGACCATGGAGCGCCTCACCCTGGAGGACGCAGGCTCCTATGAGTGCCAGGTGGACACACCATGGTACGAAGGCTTTGACAGGTTCTTCAAGGTTGAGGTGGCCGTGCTGCCAGGTGAGCCCCTCCCACCAGCGCCTGGGCTGCCTGGACCTGGACACCTGGGGAAGAATCAGAAAGCAGCAGCTGGAGCCTGGGAGGGAGTCCAAGGGGGGGAGCAGCCCACAGCCCGCCCAGCCCTGAGGAGCTGCCAATCAGGGAAGGAGGCGAGAGCAGAGCCTGCAGGGGAGAGAGCCACTTCCTGCCCTGGGCCCTGGGGACAGGGACAGGCAGAGCTCTGTGTGGACACCCAGGGCGGAGCAGAGGGGCAGAAGTCCTGGATGGTGCAGTGGGCAGAGGCAGCACAAGTGACAAGTGGTCTTTGCAGTTAGATATCCCTGCAGCATGTGGCTGTGATGGGAGGGGGACGAGACTGGGTGTGGGGAGGTGACCCTGGGGGTCTCAGGAGGCCATGGCCCTCAGAGCAGGACGGAATCAGCCCTGCTGGGGGTGGTACCTGTGTCCTGTACAGAAATGTCCCCAGGGTCCTGGGGAGACTTTGGCCCTGGGCCACTGCCCGCCCCCTTCCTCAGTGAGCATTTGGCATGAAATCAGGCCCAAGGCATCCGCCAGTGGTGGGTGGGTTGCAGGACAGACCTCTGGGTGTCATTGTAGATTTGCCACCAGCAACGTCAGGGACACTTACAAGTGTCACTACAGCGAAGACCTTGACAACCACAAGCAGAACACAAGCTGCACTGTCCACCAGCCTGGCCACAGAGAGTGCCACCCCTGGTCCCAGGAGCCAGGACCTCGACCATGGCCAGCACCCAGGGTAAGTGTCCTGTCCCTGACTGGGGTCTTCTCCACGGGGGCTGTGTGGTCACTCGGGGGAGGGAGTCACACACCTGCTGGCCCAGGCCTGCTGACCCTTGGCCCCAGGCCCAGGTTGGAAGCTGCAGTCTGTGTAACCTGGTTTGGGTCACTGAGGCCACCACACTGGACCTGCCCCAGGCTTCAAGAGAGGCTCAGACCAAGGAGGGGCTGGCAGAGGGGGAGGCAAGTGTCCACCCATGAGGGCTGGGGCTGTCCTGCCAGACGCCCAGAGCCCCACACGCTGTCCTCCTTGGCGCCTCCTTGGTTGATGACCCCAACCTGCTCCCATGATCATCTCACAGACTACATCTCACAGGTGACACAACCTCACCTGTCACATGGGCACAGGTGTGGGGCTGGGCTGGGCCTGCGTGATCCCAGAGTCTGGGGCTCTCCCCTCTAATTTGAGTGGGTCTCTATCTGGGGGGTCCTCAACCTCACAGAGAATCTGAGCACATCTGTGGACTCCTCAGAAAAATGCAAGCAGGCACAGGCCATTTCTGGGGGTCATGGGCTCCACACCTGACCTCACCCAGGGGGAGCAGTTGGCTCCTGGTGCTGACCACTGCAGTCCTTGCAGACCCACAGGTTAAGGGCTCTGACCCCAGGACCACACACAAGACACCAGCTGCACTTTGGGGCAGCCCAGGTCCCAGCACGTCTCATAACTGGCTGCAAACGTGGGGCTCCTGTGGCCCCTGGGGGTCCGTGATTCATAGACTCAGAGCTCTGCAAAATAATACATAAGAATACAGCCATTCCCTCCCTAGAAAAGACATGGGGGAGGAGGGCGTGCTCTTGGTATTTCCAGGATTCAGATCAGAGTGTCTGTGTGTGCACAGGCCTTTGTGAAAGCAGGTTTCTGGTGTGTGTGTGTGTGTGTGTGTCTGTGTGTGCATGCAGACACCTGTGTGCACACACAGCACACCTATGTTGTTCCACTGTCTCCCTGGGCCCCACTCTAACAGTCCAGGTCTGAAACCTTCCAGGAGTGGGAGTGGGACTGGCTGTTGGGTCCCTGGCTTTTTGTTGACTTCCTGACCAGGTGAGGGTCATGTCCTCTCCAAAGGAGACCTGTGTCTCACCTGGGCCTGTCTCCACCCTCCCTCTGGGACGGGACCCTCACAGCATTTGCTTCCCCTATAGAAGGGCACCTTCACTTGGGTCACCTACCCCCTCTCTGCTGTGGATGGTCTTGGGACACTAGCTCCTCCATCATGGTCCTGGGGTCCTTCTAAAAAGGACCCATACCACTGTGCAGGCTTCCTGACTCCTAAAGGGACTCTGCTCCTAGTGGACCTGGTGGTCCTAGGTCACAGCATCCCTTGTGGAGCCACAGACCATCTCTGCTGTCATTTGAAGTCACTCTGGCCGTGTCCCTGCCCAGGGCCCTGCGTCTCCGGTTTCCCTGTGTCAATCTCTACACAGTAGGCCTCACTGTGATTGTCCCCAGGAGGGACAGGGAGCAGGAGGAGAGGATGGTGCATGGACTGGCCCTGCTGCAGGGTCCTCCCAGGAGCCCCCACCCTCCTCTGGAACGCAGTCCTCCCAGTGGAGTGCTCCTGCCACAGTGCACCTGGAGATGGGTGGGGTGAAGTCCTGCTCAGGCCCAGCTGTGGCCAGGAGACTGCTGGATGCAGGACGTCTGTCCAGCAGGCTCCGAGTGACCTGCCTGGGGGAGTCAGAACAAACCAGGGGCAGAGTGTGCTGACCTGTGCCTCCCCATCAGCCCTGACCACAGCCTCCAGCCCTGAGAGCCCCACAAGCACCCAGGGGCCTCCCATGTCCCTGTCAACACCCACCTGGCCCCTCACGACCAGAGAGGACACCCCCAGTCCCCACCCACAGCCTGGGTAAGGCCTGTACTCAGGGCTCTGCCTCTGGGTGGTGAGCGCTGTTGAGGGGCCTGGGGGGCACTTGGGTCTCCTCCTCTGGGTCCCGCCAGCATTCGCCAGTCCCACCCTTAACCACGAGGCTCCTACTAAGTGCTAGATGATCTTCTTGGCATTGGGACACAGTGGCCACCACCCAGACAGTCGTGCGTGGCCTGCACTGTTCTGTGGTGGGTTCAGGAGTGAACAGGTCAGCACAGTCGGTCTAGACACAGTAAGTGGGGCTGGGCAGACTGGTCCTGGGTGGGGGTGAGAGTGGAGGGGGTGGGGGATGGGTCACGGGACAATCAGGGGAGGCCTTGCTGACCAGGGCCACGTGAGTGGAGCCTGCAGGGCTGGGGACAGGCACCTGGGATCTGGAGAGAGTGGCCCAGGCAGAGGGAAGAGAGAGCACAAATGTCCTGCCCAAGGGCCCCAGGCCCTGCTGGGCAGGGAGCAGGTGCTTGGTGGCCCTGGCACTCTCTGCCTTCTGCCTCCCTCCCCGCGCCTGGTCACAAGTGTCAGCCGGTTTTCCTGACCCGGTCCTCTGAGGCAGGTGGGGCTGAGCTGGGGCTGGGCCATTCCGTCAGCAGCCGGGAGTCCACAGCCCCTGCGGCCTGTACAGAGACGGCCATGGCCTCTTGTTGTGGGTGAACACACAGTCCCCTCTCCCTGGAAGGTGGAAATGCCGACACGTGGCAGGTTGCAGACCCCCACACCCAGGGGTAACCCCCAGATGTGGCAGGGGAGGTAGAAATCCCTCCCTGGTCCCGGGTCCCTGCTAGACGCCTGGGCTCCCCTCACATCTTTCCTGTGCCCATGCCCTTCCTACATGCTGAGTCCAGGGCCCTTCTTGGGGTGTCTAGTGGGGACTGAGATGTTTAATGTGGGACTGCCTTGGTCAGGGTTGGTCTTCATGGGGACTCCAGGGGACACAGGACCTGGGTGTAAGGGACAGAGGCAAAGTGCAGGGCACTGGGGCCTCCCTGTGAGGAGACAGCTCACGGTTCCCATGTCCCCCGCAGGGCCCTGGTCATCAATGTCCATCTCCTGCTCCTGGCCTTGAAGGTGCTCCTGCTCCTGAGCATGCTCAGTGCTGTCCTCTGGGTGAAGAGGCCTCAGAGAAGCTCCAGGTTCAGGTGACGGCAGCATGACTGTGAGAACCAGTGACCTCTGCTGTCCTGAGGCCACCTCCAGGGACACCCCCTGCTGGAGGAGGGGACAACTCCTGACTTATCTGCATTTCTATTAGAACCCTCTGAGGCCTTTGTGACTTTCTAGAAGCCTTTCCTTGGCTCATCACACACATGGACAGGCGTGTCTAGTGCGTGCACTTCCAGCCAAGGCCACTGCAGCCCGTGTGCCCAGCCTGTCACGGGCACCACTGACGTGATGCAGCCCTTCTGGTCTCTTGTGCCTCCTTCCTACCCTCCTGGGCGCCCTAACAGGGCTGCATGCTCCTCCTCCACCTCCTTGAAGGTCTGCACTCCCATGCGTATGCTCCCCAGGGCGCAAGGTTTAGCTTTGCTCATTGTTGAACTTCACATAAACAGGATTTTATGTTCATGTTGGTCTTCCTCCTCCTGGTGTCGGTGATGGGACACAGGCCGCGTGCAGCTTGGTGTCCATCTCTGAGCTACACCCAGCCCTGATGCGCCCTTGAGTCCCGAGTCCTGTGATGGCCACTGGTCATTGGACCTGGGGACTCGTCCACGTGGAGGTGTTGCTGCCCGGATGTGCCGGGCGTTTGTTTCTTCTTTCTCTTCTCGTCCTTTTCTCTCTTCCTCCTGTCCCTTGTCCTCTGATGCGTCTCCTTCCCCTCTCTCTCCCCCCACCCCCTCTTCCTCTCCTCTCCTCTCCTCCTGTCCTCTTTGGCCCCCCTCTTGCTTTCTCTATCCCCCTCCTCTTCCTCCTCCCCCCCATCTTCCTCTTCTCCTTTTTATTTATTGAGTTTTTGCCTCTATCACTCACAATGCTGCCCCCAACATCCCTGACCCTGTTCCCTGGCCCATGTTCCACATGTCTCTGGAGCCTGGCCCTAGGCCTTACTGCCCCTGTGACTCCACTCTACCAGGCCCTTCCCATCCACTTCCAGGTCACTGTACCCACCCCTCCCCCAGCAGCCGACCCCTCCCTGAACCTGCCAGACTCCCCATTCCTCCCTGTTAGTGGGTGGGAAGGGCATCTGGCTGTGTCCATCTGTCACTCCTGCCCACCTGTGTGACTTAGATTTCATCTTTTGTCCACTTCTATTTTCTGTTGTGGGGCTGTGTTTTCATATTGATTTTAGATTTGTAGAAATTCTTTACGAGTCCTTGGTTAGTTACATGTGTCCTAAATATCTTTCCCCAGTTTGTTGACTTTGTGGTATCTTTTGAGAGAATAGACTTTTTTTTTTTTTTTTTTTAGGACTTGAGATTGAACCCAGGGCTTCTCACAAACTAGGCAAGTGCTCTACCACTGGGCTATGCCCCCATCTCGCTTTTAAAATTTTATTTTGAGACAGGGTCTCACTAATTTGCCCAGACTGGCCTCAAACTCAAGATCCTCCTGCCTCAGCCTCCCAAGTGGGATTACAGGTGTGCCCTATCATGTCTGGCTTCCAGTTTTAAATGTTAATGTTTGGGCTTTGGATGTGGCTCAAGCGGTACTGTTCTCGCTTGTCATGTGCGGGGTGCTGGGTTTGATGTTCAGCACCACATAATAATAAAATAAAGATGTTGTGTCACCGAAAATTAAAAAAAAATTCTCTCTCTCTCTCTCTCTCTCTCTCTCTCTCTCTCTGTTTAAAAAATGTTAATGTAGCAAATTATTTTATATTTTCATTTATGCTTTATATTTTTGTTCTTGCTTAACAAATTGTTGGTACCCTAAAAATTTTTTAATTCCTCCATACTCTTCTAAAAACTTAGAAATTTCCCTTCACAGGAAAGTCTTTACTGTCACATTTCACGACTAAACACTCAGGGTCACTCCAGGTGAACTGGGCTGCACGAAATAATCACACACACACACACACACAGAGATACCTTTCTTTGTGTGTGGGGGGGTCCTGTGATAGCTCTAAACTCAGGAGTCCATGGAAAGAGAGAGAGCACAGGGCTGACCCCTTTTACTGAGAAGCCTTTCCAAGGAGGCAAGGGGTCAGATTTCAGGGGCTGAGTCCAGCTTCCTGATGTCTGCTGTCAGCTGGAGGATCATTTGACACATTTGCATGTCTTTATTCCACCCCTCCCTTCTCCCTGCTGGGCAGTTTGGCAAGAGCTTGAGGGAGGCCTTCTGTCCCTGTGCCCGATTCTTGTCCCCCCACCCTGGGCCTTGCAGTGGCTCTGGGCCCTCTGCCCAATTCCTGGGTGAGCTGAGGCTGCAGGGCCTTGTGGTCCTTGTTTTCCTAAAGTCCTGCAGTCTTTCCTGGAGAAGGAGGGCGTGCAGGGCACCCAGGTGATCAAACGCAGAAATGAGCACTGCAGGGGACAGGGGCGTGGGAGGTGGCCCTGAGGCTGCTGTGTCTCCTGAGATGGTGACTGTGTGAATCCCGGGGAGTGAAGGGGTACAACAGGGAGCTGTAGATGAGGAATGACTTGGAAGAACCCCACCCCACCCTGTTCCCTTCCAGCCAATGAATATCCACTGAGCATGTCCCAACTCTGCAGTGTGATATGGGGAAGCAAGAGCCTTTCCCTCTGTGGGGAGCCAGGTCCTGGGTGCTGTTCCCTTCCTGAGCCGGCCCTGGGAGCCCCTGCTGAGCTCTGCAGGCCAGCTGCTGGGCCAGGTCTCCTTTCTGCTCCTCTCTGGAGAGAGGGGACAGGGCTGTGTGGAACAGGGCCTCACAGGCTGGAAACTTTGGACTGGGGAGGGTCCTGGGCCTCTGGCTGCTGGTAGCTTCCTCTTCCTCTCTGTCCATCCCAACCACAGCACCCCCAGGACAGGAGGGGGACACGTCATGGCCACCATGACCAGTAGGGGTGGACTGTGCCCGGGGACTGAAGGATGCCTGGAACACAGGTCCCCCAGGCCAGGCCTGACTGCCGCGTGGTCTCCCCCTCGTTTTCTGGTCTGGTCTGCAGTCTAGGTCTAGGGTTGAGCCAGGGCCTTGCTGTGCTCTGACACCCAGCTGCACCCAGCCCTGGGTCCCAGGGAGGGGCCGGAGGGTGGGTGGGGTCAGGCCACTGCAGCTGGTCTCACCCATCCCCGGGGAAGAGAAACCAGGAGCCTCTGTCCTCTGGCTGTCCTCCCTGGCAGTGTGTCCTGCAGGTCTGCTCTGTCTCTGGATCTTACAGGTGTGAGCCCCAGCTGTGTGCACTTGGCCACAGCAGAAGCACAGGACATGGGGCCCTTGGTGGCTGTCAGTTATTCTCGGGCTCCATCAGGTGCTCCCTGGGCTGTGAAGCCTTCTTCCCCTGGGCCTCACCACAGTGAGCGGCCTCCTGCTTCTCAGGGCCTGGTGCCGGGCTCTGGCTGCACTGCAGAGGCACCCACCGGTCAGTGCCCTCCCGGAGACAGCCTCAGACTTCCTGGGGGAGGAAGTGGTAGAGGGAGGAGAAGGCTGCGGCGGTGGGAGGGGCTCTGGCTGCACTGCCTTGGAGGGCGGAGCCCTGCCTAGGGTCTCCCCAGCTTGTCCACACCCAGATCTGTCCTGAGGACCCTTCAGCCGGCAGGACTCAGTGCATCACCACCAATACCCTTCCCCTGCCTCCAGCGCTTGCGTCCACACTGGGAAGAGACTGTAACCAGGGCCAGAGGCTTTGTGGCTGCGGCAGGACCCCTCTCCTTGCCATGGAAAGGGGGCTCAGCCTGGGGTCCTCGGGTTTGTCTCCCTCTGCACTGGGTCTGGTGATGGGCACAGGGAGCTGTGAGAAGGTGCTGCCTCCTGGGTTTCTGACGTCATGAGGTCACCTTGCATCATCTGTGACTTTCCACTTGCCATCAAGTGACCTTGGGTACAACCTGTGTCTTCTGCTCAAGGGCAATAACAATAGGTCCTTTGTGGGAACAAGTCACATGGTGGCTATGAAAACACTCAAAAGTGTTCCCAAATTGGGACAGTCTCTCTCCAAGGGGACATATCTCCAGTAGGAAGCCTGGAGGCAGTGAGGAGGTTGGATCTGGATCTGGGGTGAGGGACAAAAGACAAGTACCATCAGGCATGGCAAGGATGGGATCCTGGACCTGTTCCTCCTGCAGGAGTTCCGACGTTTCTCTCCCATCCATAAGGAAAACTGCATCTCCAGGTGATTTGCCAGGTTCTCCCTGCTGTGTCATTTGGTGGCCAGTGGACAAGCCACACGAGCATCTAGCCTCCTGCTTCTTTGTGTTATTCTGGGCACTTGAGCCTGCAGCAATGACTTTGGGATCATGGTACAACTAAAAATAGATGTCTGGGGCCAGGTGTGGTGGCTCATGCCTATAATCTCAGCAATGTAGGGGGCTGAGACAGGAGAGCTGCAAGTTCAAGGCCAGCCTCAGCAACTTAGTGAGACTCTGTCTCAAAAAAAAAAAAAAGAAAAAAAAGAAAGAAAAATGACTGGGGATCTGTTCAGTCCTCAGTGTGTGTGTGTGTGTGTGTGTGTGAGTGTGTGTGTGTGTGAGTGTGTGTGTGTGTGTGAGTGTGTGTGAGTGTGTGTGTGAGTGTGTGAGTGTGTGAGTGTGTGTGAGTGTGTGTGCGTGAGTGTGTGTGAGTGTGTGTGTGAGTGTGTGAGTGTGTGTGAGTGTGTGTGAGTGTGTGAGTGTGTGTGAGTGTGTGAGTGTGTGTGTGAGAGTGTGTGTGAGTGTGTGAGAGTGTGTGAGTGTGTGTGTGAGTGTGAGTGTGTGTGAGTGTGTGAGTGTGTGTGTGTGAGTGTGTGTGACTGTGTGTGAGTGTGTGTGTGAGTGTGTGTGTGAGTGTGTGTGAGTGTGTGTGTGTGTGAGTGTGTGTGAGTGTGTGTGAGTGTGTGTGAGTGTGTGAGTGTGTGTGTGAGTGAGTGTGAGTGTGTGAGTGTGTGTGAGTGTGTGAGTGTGTGTGAGTGAGTGAGTGAGTGTGTGAGTGTGTGTGAGTGTGTGTGTGTGAGTGTGTGTGAGTGTGTGTGAGTGTGTGTGAGTGTGTGAGTGTGTGTGTGAGTGTGTGAGTGTGTGTGAGTGAGTGTGTGAGTGTGTGAGTGTGTGTGAGTGAGTGTGGGGGGAAGGAGGAAAGTGAATCTCCTGGGGCGCAGCAGGAGGGGACAATCTTGGGACCTCAGAGCTAGTGGGGGCTCCCTGGGGTGGGTGGGTGCTCTGACTCAAAGGCTCAAGCTGCTGGGTGACGTGTTACACGTTAGGATGAGGGCACCCTGTGCTCACACGGTCACTCTGTGCCAGCTGGGGACACTTATCACAGGTGGAGGAGGGGGAGGGTCACTGCAGCCTTGCTGGATCCCAGCTCAGGGCCACAGGGGCTACACGGGAGGGGGGATGTCACGGCCTGTGGATGTCACAGTCAGATTGAGGACACATTTCCAGGACCAGGAACCATTCAGGACTCTAGGGCCACTGTGCCAACCTGGGGTCAGGCCTAGAGCTGGCTCATGGAGGGCAGTTCCAGGTTGGCCTCCCACGGGGCAGGCCCAGTGCTGAGGACGCAGGCTCTGTGTGCCCCTCCCACTGGTGACATCCTGACCACAAGGAGGAGAGGAGGAGTGACAGGGCCAGAAGGAAGCCTGGCCCTGCAGACCTGGGGTGAGGGCAGTCCTGCCACCTTGGGCCCAGGCGGGTCCCACACACCACACCTTCCCCTCCCTGGCTTTCATAGGACAGCACAAGCCCAGGGCCACCTCGGGGGCCGCTTGGCCCCTGCATCTTCTCCATTTTCTCCCCAGCCCCAGGAAGAAACTAAAGAGGACAAGCGGGAAGCAGCTGCCCCAGAGAAAAGCAGAAGTGGGAGCCCTGGAGACTGACCCTCCCCAGGAGGCTGGAGCCTGTGTCCTGTGGGGCTTGGTGCCCGGAGGTGACATCTGTGCAGGAGAAATGAGCCCCAGAGGCCTGACGGCCTGGCCCCCCTTGGCTCTGCTGCTTCTCTGGCTCCCAGGTGAGGGCCCTCTGTCCAGGGAGGGTCTGCAGAAGGGAGGGAAGGCAGGAGGGGGGCCAGGAGGCGTCCCGTGAGGAGCCCCAGCTGCACGTCTCTGTGCAGACGCAGAATGGGGTGCACTGTGTCCATGATGTAAGATGGACTTGCCAAACACCACACCCCTGGGAGGGAAGGGGCAAGGGGGTCCCTCTGAGCCCACCTGACCTTGGAGAAGCCAGTGTACTGCCCAGGGAAAAGGGTGTCCCCAGGAGGGGCCCTGAGAGAGGTCAGGGGGAACCAGGACAGGGGGAGCAGGGTGAGGGGACGGGGGTGGGGTGGAGAGGGCACCAGAGCACACCTGGGGCCTGTGTTGGGGAGGCCCTCCAGGTCCAGCAGTTTGGGGTACAGAGGAAGGAGGGGACCGAGGAGGAGAAGGCCTCCATCTCAGGGACAGGTGGGTTTAGCCAGGGCAGCTGGAGGCTGGGTGGGAAGAGTCCTGGTGGGGCCCAGGGGTCAGTGACCCCCAGGAAGGGAGTTAGGGACAGGAGAGAGGGAAGGACAGTGGGCAGGGAGCGGGAGATCGTGGGAGGGCAGGGAGGAGACCTTCTCCAGGCAGAACTCCTGGGAGGGCAGTCTTCCCATGCAGGACCAGACCTCCTCAGGTGTCCCCAGCAGCGTTCACAGTGCGGTCTTGGTGCAGGCCCAGGACAGGTTTATTTATTTCATTTATCTTACATGCAGAATATTTTAGAACTCTTGGATGCTCCTATCAGTTCTGTGCCTTCTCTAGTAATATTTGCAGTGTAAACACAGTGACTTTGGGGAGCTGTGGCTTTGTGGATTCACTGGGGCCGGACGTCCTCCCGTGGCCAGCGTCTCTGTTGATTCTCAGGGTCTTCCTGTGTTTTCATGGCATCTGCATGGGCCGAGGACAGGGGGCTCCTTCCTGGTACCTGTTTCTCTGTGGGCCCTTCAGCCCAGGCCTAGTGCAGACCCAATGAGCCCCTGTGGCTGTGCTCATCTGCCTGGCCCTGCCTCAGGGGACGATGGCCAGTGGTCCCTAAGAGGAGTGAGGAAGCTGTCCCCCCATATCTCTTCACAAAGCTTCTCTCCCTCCCTCCTCTACCTCCCCCCCCTCTCCGCCCCACCTCTATGTCCCCCTGTCTCCCCTGCCCTGTCTCTCTCTCCCTCTGTTGGGGATGTAACCCAGGGCCCTGTGCTATAAGCAAGGGCTCTACCCTGAGCCCCACTCCAGCCCCCACAGAGCATTTTAGCACAGCAGCAACAGGCAAGAGAGAGCTTTTCCTGATCTGAGGAGCTGATTTTCTTTCTTTGAACTTCTAAGCTGGTGAATTATAGAAAGAGATTTGGCCCCAAGTATATTGGCCCAGGTGGGGTGATGCACACCTGTAACACACAACTCGGGAGTGTAAGGCAGGGCCATGGAAGTCAAGGCCATCCTCAGCAGCTTACTGAGACTCTGTCTCAAAATACAATTTTCAAGGGTCTGGGGATGTGACCTGATGGTCCAGTGTCCCTGGGTTCAATTCCTAGTACCTGTCCCCCCATGCCCACCCTTACACAGAGACAGAGTTGGCCAGATTCCCTCTCGATATACAATGCTGAGTTCATGAAAAACCTTACAGGGATTTCCCTGGTTCAGTATTTTCTGTAAAGTTGAGTGAATTGGAGCTGTGTGTGTCCTGAAGGGGTTTTGCTTTTGGTATTGGGCCTGAGCCCTGAGCCTCAGAGTGGCCGGGGATCACTCTATGCTGAGCCGCATCCTGGCCTGAGGTTTGAGAGAACTGAGAGAACCGTCTGTCAACTGTGCAGCTGTGGTCATTTTCTGGGGCGGGTGGGGGTGGTGTGGGGAGGACTCCTTGGTGACTCTCACTAATGTCCATCTGTTTTGAGAAGCCCCTCTATTTCTGGCTTAGGTTGGTCACTTGTATTTCGCTAGAAAATAATTCAGTTCCTCCAGGTTACAGAATGTAGAGACTCGGGGTGATTTTCCTTTCCCTTGTGCTCTGGCCTCCTCCTCCTCCTCCTCCTCCTCCTCCTCCTGCTCCACTGTGTCCTCTCCCTCCTCCTCCTTCACTGTGTCTTCCTCCTCCTCCTCCACTGTGTCCTCCCCCTCCTCCTCCTCCACTGTGCCCCACCTCCTCCTCCTCCTCTGTGTCCTCCTCCTCCTCCTCCTCCACTTGACTTGAGGTTTAAGGAGGATTTAGAGCAATCGTGGGAAACAGGACTGGGTGTGGCAGGTGAGGGGGAGGCCAGAGGTCAGGGCGAGGACCAAGACCCTGATGAGGGGACCCAGTAACCCACAGCAAGGAGAGGAGGGGACAGGAGCGGAGGGGCATGGGAGGTGGGGACAGGAGAGGAAGTGACAGGGGAGGTGGGGACAAGAGAGGTGGGGGACAGTGTTAGGACTAGGCCAGGGACAGCATCCTGATGAAAGAGGGCTGGGGTTGACATTCATTACTAACTACTTAATATGTGCCAATTTTAGTGATTTGTGCTTTTCTGGAAAATCACCCATTCATCCAGGTTACACATTTATTTACAGAGAGTTTCTTTTTGGGGAGGGGCACCAGGGATTGACTCAGGGGCACTCTGATACTGAGTCACATCCCCAGCTCTATTTTGTATTTTTTTTTTTTTTTTAGAGACAGGGTCTCACTGAGTTGCTTAGCACCTTGCTTTTGCTGAGGCTGGCTCTGAACTTGAGATCCTCCTGCCTCAGCCTCCCGAGCCCCTGGGATTATAAGCATGCACCATCACACAAGGCCTGTAAATTCTACAAAGTCCCCTGTGGGCCCTTAACTCTCTCTACCTGTGATTACCTCCTCTCTCCATTTCTCATTTGGACTAGACAGGGGTTACCTGGTTTTGTGGGGTCACATCTGATGGAGCTCCTGTTTTCTTGGTCAAGGGCACTGAGCAGCAGCATTTCCTGAGTGTCACTAACATGACCTGCAGACGGTTGACAGCCAGGGCGGCTCTTTCCCTCCTCCCTCCTTTGTTTCCTGGGGCTGGTGGAGCCTGGGCCTGCTGCATGCTGGGCAGCCTCTCCACTGACCCTGGCCCCATCCTAACATGATCTTCCATGAACCCCCCAGATGCCATGTCAGGTTGGCGTGGTCCCCACCACTTTGTGGCTGGCATCTGAGGTGCAGAGAGGTCAGGCCCTGGCCCTGAGCACACAGAGGATGCAAACTAGAGCTGAGGCCCAAGCCCGGGTTCATCTGAGGCCCCTGTGGCTTCACCTTGGCAGTTGCTACTGAGCTTCTCGGAGAATGTCCCACCTGTGACAGTGTCACAAGGGCTTCTCTGCAGGGGACCTCACCCCAAGGCTAGGAGACGGGGTCCTACTGGCCCTGGCAGAGGGATGCAGGGGCTACTGGGCAGCTGTGGGCAGCTGTGCTCTGAGGGTGCAGCCACAGTGGTCTCTTTGTGCCAGGTGCAGCAGGCACTGAAGGGAGGAGGAGGAGGCCTGGGCCCCTGGGGCTGTGACTCAGGGGTCCCACAGTCTCAGGTCAGGGCTGTGACTCAGGGGTCCCACAGTCTCAGGTCAGGCCTAAGGTCCTGAAGGCCTCCAAATTTTGTTTTTCAGACTGTGTTCCTCTGAGTGGCCCCAGCAAAGTGACAGGCATCGTGGGAGGATCCCTGATGGTACAGTGTCAGTATGGGGAAATGTTCAAGGACAATGACAAACTGTGGTGCAAAAAATCAGTTTTCTATTGTTATGATATTGTGAAGACTAGAGGCTCAGAGGGAGAGGTGCGGAGCGGCCGAGTGTCCATCAGCGACCACCCTACAAACCTCAGCTTCACAGTGACCATGGAGCGCCTCACCCTGGAGGACGCAGGCTCCTATGAGTGCCAGGTGGACACACCATGGTACGAAGGCTTTGACAGGTTCTTCAAGGTTGAGGTGGCCGTGCTGCCAGGTGAGCCCCTCCCACCAGCGCCTGGGCTGCCTGGACCTGGACACCTGGGGAAGAATCAGAAAGCAGCAGCTGGAGCCTGGGAGGGAGTCCAAGGGGGGAGCAGCCCACAGCCGGCCCAGCCCTGAGGAGCTGCCAATCAGGGAAGGAGGTGGGACAGAGCCTGCAGGGGAGAGAGCCAGTGCCCACCCTTGGCCCTGGGGACAGGGACAGGCAGAGCTCTGTGTTGACATCTAGGGCGGAGCAGAGGGGCAGAAGGCCTGGATGGTGCAGTGGGCAGAGGCAGCACAAGTGACAAGTGGTCTTTGCAGTGAGATATCCCTGCAGCCTGTGGCTGTGATGGGAGGGGGACGAGTCCGGGTGTGGGGAGGTGACCCTGGGAGTCTCAGGAGGCCATGGCCCTCACAGCAGGAAGGAATCAGCCCTGCTGGGGGTGGTACCTGTGTCCTGTACAGAATTGTCCCCAGGGTCCTGGGGAGACTTTGGCCCTGGCCACTCCCCGCCCCCTTCCTCAGTGAGCATTTGGCATGAAATCAGGCCCAAGGCATCTGCCAGTGGTGGGCAGGTTGCAGGACAGACCTCTGGGTGTCATTGTAGATTTGTCACCAGCAACGTCAGGGACACTTACAAGTGTCACGACAGCGAAGACCTTGACAACCACAAGCAGAGCCCAAGGTGCACTGTCCACCAGCCTGGCCACAGAGAGTGCCACCCCTGGTCCCAGCAGCCAGGACCTCTACCATGGCCAGGGCCCAGGGTAAGTGTCCTGTCCCTGACTGGGGTCTTCTCCACGGGGGTTGTGTGGGCACTCGGGGGAGGGAGTCACACCCCTGCTGGCCCAGGCCTGCTGACCCTTGGCCCCAGGTTGGAAGCTGCAGTCTGTGTAACCTGGTTTGGGTCACTGAGGCCACCACACTGGACCTGCCCCAGGCTTCAAGAGAGGCTCAGACCAAGGAGGGGCTGGCAGAGGGGGAGGCAAGTGTCCACCCATGAGGGCTGGGGCTGTCCTGCCGGGTGCCCAGAGCCCCACACGCTGTCCTCCTTGGCTCCTCACATGACCCCAACCTGCTCCCATGATCATCTCACAGACTACATCTCACAGGTGACACAACCTCACCTGTCACATGGGCACAGGTGTGGGGCTGGGCTCTGCCTGCGTGACCCCAGAGTCTGGGGCTCTCCCCTCTAATTTGAGTGGGTCTCTATCTGGGCGGTCGTCAACCTCACAGAGAATCTGAGCACATCTGTGGACTCCTCAGAGAAATGCAAGCAGGCACAGGCCATTTCTGGGGGTCATGGCCTCCCCACTCTGACCTCACCCAGGGGGCAGTTGGCTCTTGGTGCTGACCACTGCAGTCCGTGCAGTCCCACAGGTTAAGGGCTCTGACCCCAGGACCCCACACGAGACACCAGCTGCACTTTGGGGCAGCCCAGGTCCCAGCACTTCTGACAACTGGCTGCAAACGTGGGGCTCCAGTGGCCCCTGGGGGTCCGTGATTCACAGACTCAGAGTCTGCAAAAAATACCTAAGATTACGGCTTCATCATGAAGGATATAGATCAGGATCCCCCAAATGAGGGGACACGGGTGCAGTCTGGAGGGTCCCAAACAGAGTTCCAGGCCCTCTCAGGGTGGGATCAGGGACCTCCCTGTGTCTGTCCCCAGAGCTCCTCCCGTCTCCCATGTCCAGGTGTTCTCTGGGGTTTCAGGACACTCGGGCTCCAGCCCCTCCCTCCCTGGAGGCCAGGGTCCCTGCAGCCTCTGCAACAACATGGTCTTTTTGGCTGGTAGCTCCCTCCTGTCACCTCACCTCTTAGCAGAGTCAGGTGTGGGCCACAGACAGCAGAGCTGGTCCTGTCGCTTGGGAAATTCCCAGGGTGACAACCTCCCTCCCCAGACCCAGAGGCAGAGCAGAGGCAGAGGCAGAGGCCAGCCAGACTCCTGACCTCAAAACTCAGGCCTCTACATGCCGCTTCCTGAAGTGTATCCTGCAGAGGCCCAGGGGCAAGGAGCTCAGTTGTGTCACCAGGGTCTGAAGCTTGTGCAGTGTGTGTGTGTGTGTGTGTGTGTGTGTGTGTGTGTGTCTTGGGGATAAGAAGATGCTAGGCAGAGTGTTTGCCTAGCATGCAGGGAGGCCCTAGGTTCCACCCCCCACCCTCCGGGACCCCACATGCGCGTGTGTGTGCACACACTTGCACATGAAGATTATGAGTGCAAGGTATGGAAGAAAGGCCCAAGCTCATAAGGGCTTGAAGCTTGTGTCTGAGTAAATCTGGAGGTAAATCTGCTGCTCTGTATCCTAGTGTGGGATGACGGAGCTACTGGGTGACTTATTACAGCCATGTTAGTGGTCACACAGGAAAATGGGGGGATGCCATGAAGAGGGGATGGCTAAAGGACGTGTGGTCTACCATGCGATGGAATATTATGCAGCTGTGCAAAGAGTGAAGGATTGGGATTTCTTTATGCACTGCCTGGGAAGGTTGCTAAGAGGCATTGTTAAGTAAAACCATAATTGTGTTCATACTTTGCCTGCTTTTTGTGAAAAAGGAAGCGACACACACACACACACATTTGTGTTTTTTTTCACAATAACTTTATTTTATTTTTTTATTTATTTATTTATTTATTTATTTATTTATTTATTTATTATTAATGTGGTGCTGAGGATGGAACCCAGGGCCTCCTGTATCTAGGCCAGGGCTCTACACTGAGCTACAACCACGGCCCCCATCTTTGCTTTTCTTTTTGAGTTGGGGGTAGCTCCAGACCTGGTGTGTGGCTGGAAGTGTCCCCTACTGTGCCCTGTCCCCTGTCTCCCCAGCCCTGCACAGAGAGTCTCTGGGTCTCTGGAGATTTTCTCAGCACACCATGTGCACAAGTGCCAGGACTGGGGGACATGGGGGGTATAGATAGGGGCATATGCTACCTTTTCTTTTTACTTACTTATTTTTGGTAGTGGGAATTGAACCCAGAGGCTCTTTTCTTCTGTGATACATCCCCAGCCTTTTAAAATTTTGAGACACGGTCTTTCTAAGTTGCTGAGGCTGGCCTCACACTTGGGAGCTTCCTGATGCAGCCTCCTGACTTGCTGGAATGATAGGTGTGCCCTCTGGGTCCCACTGTGGTCTCCTTTTTTTTTCATGGTACCAGGGATTGAACTCAGAACTCAGGGGCACTCGACCACGGGGCACCTCCCCAGCCCTATTTTGTATTTCATTTAGAGACAGGGTCTCACTGAGTAGCTCAGCACCTCACCTTTCTAAGGCTGGTTTGAACTAGGGATCCTCCTGCCTCAGCCTCCCCACCTTGCCTGGCTTCTCTACCTTCTTTTAAAAAATTGACTTGGGTGGGCGCAGTGGCCCCCGCCTGTGATCCCAGAGACTCAGGAGGCTGAGGCAGGAGGATCACAAGTTCAAAGCCAGCCCCAGCAACTGGGAGGCACTGAGCAGCTCAGGGAGACCCTGACTCTAAATAACCACCAGGGAATGTGGCTCCATGGTCCAGTGCCCCTGAGGTCATTCCCTGCACAGTGACCGAGCACCTGCCTAGCGCACAGTCCCCCACGTGGCCCTCACCCGCCCTCCGCAGGCTCCCTGTGCTGCTCCTCCTGCTGTCCCTCCTGCTGCTCCTCCTGGTGGGCTCCTCGCTGCTGGTCTGGAGGAGGCTGCAGAAACGGGTCAAAGGTGAGTGACCCCCTGCTCCTCGGTGGCCCCGGGGGGAGGCCCTGACAGCCTCACCTGCAGCACTGCCCTGGCTCCTCAGAATGGAGGTCAGCTGCACACGGGGCCAGGCCCCAGAGGACGTGCCCCTGGGAGTGGGGTCGCAGGCTGTGGGAGGGGGGTCCTTCCTGTGCCGGGGCCTGGGGTGTCCCCTGGGACCCTGCCTTCCTTTGTATGACTCTTCCCCAATCCAGCCCCGGGACTGTCAGAGCCTCCACATTCGGCCCTGCCCAACCCCCGCCCCCCCACTCCTCACACTCCAAGGTCCTCCCTCTTGTAACCAGCCTCGTCCCTCCTCCTGGGGTGGCTCAAGGCTCACTGAGGGCCTCGCCCGCCCCCACAGGGCTCCTTCCTTCTGGACTCCAAAGACTGCCCTTAGATGCCCTCTGCCCGGGCCCTTTCCTCGGCCTCCTAAGAGGACCTGGGCCCCTCCTGGGCATTCCCCTGCACCTGGGCTAGAAGTAGACTGACGTCCCCCTGTCCCTGCCTGCGTCCCCCCAGCCAGGACGCACTTCCAGGCCAGGGAGCATGACTCCCAGGACACACTGTTGGATTCGTGTGTCGATATCTGCAGTCACGACGGGGACCCCAGGACCCTCCCGGCTTCCTGGTCTCACCCTCCTCTGAGCTCAGACTGACAGGGGGACGTGTGGGGACCCTGAGTCTGGCACTCAGGAAGTAGGTGCTCAATAAACACCAGCGAGCAGATGAGATACTCAGGGAGCAGAAGAACCAACAGAGGTGGCCTTCTTGTTCCTGGTGGGGGTCGCCAGCCACCTCGGGGAGCCAGCTTCTGCCTGGGGGTAGCGAGAGCCCCCAGGTCCTTCCTGTGCCGAGTTGGTGCATCTGTGGGGGAGGATTCTGAAGGCCGTCCCAAGCCCTGGGGACTGCTGGGGAGGCAGAGAGGGGTTACTTTGTTCCTCAGCTGCAGGGCCAGCAGGTGGCTGCTGTGGGGGTCAAGGGGATGCTGCCTCAGTCTACCTCGGGCTCTCCCGGGGCCCTGGCCTGTGGGAAGAGGTCAGCCTCAGCATCTGGGCAGAGCATGGAGAGAGAATCACTTCCTCTTTCCCTCTGCTTTTTTGGGGGTAGTTTTCTGGTCCCTCCCAGGCTGCATCCTGGGAGGACACTGCCTGCCACGTGGGGGTTTCCCATCTGGTGGCTCAGTCCCCGGGGCCCCAGCAGGCTCCCTGGTGCCCTTTCACCTAGAACGGCTCCGGCTCCTCAAGCAACTTCCTTCCCATTTAAAAGAGGGTCATACGATGACTGTGGGACGTGAACAATGAACAGAAGCACAAAGAAGTGGGTAAATTCCCTGCAGAAAACCCACCGCCCAGAGAAGTCCAGCCACTACACTCAGGGCGGGTCCCGCCTTTTTTCTCGGCTGCAGATGCAGAGATGGTTTCTTAAAGACTCTGATTCATAGCAAGAATTCTCTCTCTCAGACCTAGGATTTTCTGCACCTAACAGACTGTACCGCTTCCCCGCTGATAAACATTCTGGAAGCCGCGGCTGCACTGTTCACGGGGAATGGGCGTCTTGTATTTGTTGACCTCATCCTCAGGCGCAGGGGAAAGGCTCTCTGTTCAACCCCCGGCTCCCCTCCTTCCCTGGCTTTGCAAGTGCCCAGCCCACCCCTCTTGGCGCTGCCTGGGCCCAGTCCCGCTGGCCCCTCTGCTGTCCTCACCTCACACCTCCGCGTCACCCACCCCAGCTCCTCGCCAGCTTCCTCTTGTCACCCACTCATTCACACGGAGCCATCCTGAGCACCTGCAGTGTGCCAGGCCTGTGCGGGCCCTGGGGACATCCTTGTGACCAGTGCAGTCCCTGGACAGCGGCCTCCTGCACACCTTCCTCCCTGGCATTGAGCTGAACCTTCCCCTCCCCCTTCTTTTCCTCCTTCCCCAGAGCTCCTGTCCCAGGTGTGGCGTGGAGCCCGCCCACGGTATTCAGAACAGACTGCGTTCATGTCCCCAGCGCCCAGTTGCTGCTCTCAGTTCTGCTGAGGACTTGGCGCATGCTAGAGTCTTGTGGACTTGTGTCTCCCAAGGTCTGGCTGCTGCCCTGTGACCCGGTGCTCCCTGCCGTGTCTCTGCAGCATGCAGGCAGTGGCTCTGGTGGCCTGGCTGTGGACTAGACCCTGTGTCACCTACTGCCGGCCAGCCCCCAGGCTGGGATTGAGAAGTCAGGGTGTATGTGGCTGCACTCAAAGCCAGGACCCTACAGCAACGTGGCAGGAGCCAGAGCCAGGATGGGACAGGCCTGAGCTGCCACCGCAGGCTGCCAGGCCTCCCCCAGCAGCAGGGAGGGCCCAGGCCCGGGGTTGGCGCATTTCCCCAGCGACCTCTCGGGGTCTGGTGTAGTCTGGGCAGGTCCCTGGTGCACACCCTGCCCCTCCTGCCTGTCTACCCCGTGATGCCTGGTGAGCGGCTGTGTTGGGAACTAGCCCTGTGCCTCTCCTCCAGCTGGGCCGTGTCTGCTGCCCACTTGGTGCTGGTCACTCCTCCTCCCTGCGTGCACCAGGCACCCAATTATTCCTCCAGCCACACTGCTTCCCGCCAGCTCCAGGTCTGAGGGGAGAGGAGCCCAGGGCTTCTCCAGGGTCCCCAGCCTGGCTCACATGGGTCCCCCCTGCTCTCTCTCCCTGTGTCAGCTGGTGAGCGCTCAGAACTGTCCCAGAACCTCAGGCAGGTAAGGAAGGCCACCACAGGAGGTGCATCCGGGTGGCTGGGCAGGGGCAGCGTGGGGGACGTTGGGGCTGCAGCCAGACGGTCCCTGGGCCACAGATGATGGAGCAGAGAGCTCTCCAGAGGGGAAGAGTGACTCCTGAGGTCTGGTCCTCAGTGTCCTCCCCCATTTGGGTCTGTCCCCGGGAGCCAGTGGAAGGGGAAGGAAAGTTCCCCAGGGAGGCGCTCACAGCCCCGACGGGAGGGTGCAGGAGGGAGCAGACCCAGGGAAGTTTGGGGCCCCCACCTGGAACCTGGGCAGAAGAGGGACAGAGGTGGGGTGGGGAGGCCCGTGGACACCTCCTCCTGGCCCCCGCAGGCTGCCGGGCAGAGTGAGCCCTACTACACAAATCTGACGCTGCAGACGTGGTCCCTGCGGGAAGAGCCAGTGCCCCCGAGGCAGGCGGAGGTGGAGTACAGCATGTTGGTAAGCCAGGTCCTGGCCCCTGGCAGGGGACCCTGGGCTGCCCCATGTGGTGTGGGCGTGGGCAGAGAGGGAAGGAGGCTGGGGAGGGGCAGGTGCAGAATTTGCCCTTAGAGGAGGCTGGTGTCCGGGTGGCTGGGCAGGGTGTGGAAGGGCTACGATGATGGCCAGTGACGGTGGCCAGTGACGATGGCCGCGACAGTCAATAAGGTGCAGCATTTATTAAGCTCCTACTGCATACCACACAGCCAGTGACAAAGCTCATGACCTCTCTCTGGGTTGGTCCTGGTCATCTCTTGGATTCACTTTGTCCAGGACCTGAACAACCCTTAGGCACTGTCACCAACAGAGTGGGATAAACGGAATGGGTGGCCTCCTCAGGGTGTGACCCACCCGCTGGTGGGGGACTTCAGGCAGAGACTGGGGGGAGATCTGAGCATCAGCCAGGGGCTGCCTGGGGAGACCTCGGAGCCCCAGCCCAGGGTTCATTGGTTGGCACCGCCGCTGGTCTGCTCTGGGAAAGGGGCCCAGCTCTGTGTCCAGCCTGGGACCTGTCACCTGCAGGGGAATGGGGCTGCTCTGCTGTCCCCTCCTGCCCCCAGTCGTGCCCGCCCTGCCCTGCGTCAGCTGTCATGGGGGGCGTGGCTGGGGCCTCTGAGCAGCTGGCAGTACCTAGTTACCCTGCATCAGGCCTGTCTCCTCCTCACCTGACATTCGCATGCCCACGCGGCCACAGGCTGGGTCTGAGACTAGCCGCAGCCTCGCTTGTCCCACGTGGTGACTAATGGTCTCAGCTGGCCGGGGGCAGAGCCTCACTCTTCTGCCAACTGCGTGGGGACAAGTCAGGACCTTGCCCTGCACAACAAGCTCAGGGTAGATCTGGGGAGCCTGCCAGGCTCTACTAGGGGCCAGGGTTCTGCATGTGAGATTCCTGAGTCCTCAGAAAGGGACCATCCCTGCACCGTGGCCAGGATGTCCCATCAAAGGGAGCCAGGGGCATCTCAGGGGAGCCCACCAAGTGTGCAACCCTCTCAGGGCCTCAGGGTCTTTTTATTTTTATTTTTTATATTTTTTTAGTTGTCGATGAACCTTTATTTAGTTTACTTAGTTATAGGCGGGGCTGAGACTCGAACCCAGTGCCTCACACATGCCAGGCGAGCGCTCTGCCACTGAGCCACCACCCGGCCCTCAGTGTCATTTTTGTAGAATGAATGGACACACAGGGTCAGCACTGAGGGTCCCCGACTCTTGGGTCCAGGGATTTCGTGCTTGGCATGAGCAGGTGGGGTGGAGGGGTGGGTGGGCAGGATCCTGCCATCAGCTCTGGAGGGAAAAGGAGGCCAGGACAGCGGAGGCCTCCCCAGGGGAGCCTCCCGGGGCCCTCAGGTGTCCCCCCGCCTCCTGAGCTGGGCTCTCTCTGCAGGCCTTTCCCCGGGAGGAGCCTCACTACAGCTCCGTGGTGTTCGATTCTCCGAGGCCAGACTCCAGCGCCAGCGGGGCTCCCTCCCAGAGGCCCCCCGAGGAGGTCCCAGAGTACAGCGTGATCAGGAAGCCCAGGGCTAAGGAGGGCTAAGGCACCCCCTGTGCCCACAGCCCTCTGCCCTCCATGGGGACCGCCAGGCAGCCAAGCTCCCTGTGGCTTGTCCTCCCCAAGCCATCAGCCCAGCTGGCTCCACGGAGGACAAACAGGAATGGGGTCCTCAGGGACCAGAGGGAAGCCCCCATCTCTGTCCTCTCTTCCTCTGCTTCATTCCGCCCCTGTGTGTGGAGGATGCAGCTCCTGGTCCCCTGTGGCTCCAGGAAGTGACGCGGCTCACATAGGATGGCGCCTGCCACCCGCCTTGTAAACCAGGGCTCCACAGCCAGGTCGGGACGGCGGGCAGGAGGCGGGCTGGCCAGAGGAGCCAGGAGAAGGCGGGCAGTGCTGGGGCCTGCGCAGGGGCCAGAGAGGCCACGGAACGTCCCCTCCCTTCCCATCCCACACCTAAGGAACAGCCGGAAGAGAAGAGCTGATGACGGCAGGTTCCCTGGACTCTACTGTCAACACAAGGCACAGAAATAAAGTCCCCCCCAGAAAGAATCTTCTTAAGGGACAAGAAAAAAAGTCACTTAAATGATGCCAGGCCCCTGCCTGCAATGCCATCTCAAGGTTGTCCTGGCTTTGAGCCCAGGCTGGCACCGAGGAGCTCTGAGGACGGAGGGCTTGGGACACCCTGCGAGGCGCCCACTGCTGGGACCACAGCAGGGTCTTCTTTCTGGGGAGATTCGTAAGGAAGGTAACTGGGCGGGGCGCAGCCTGCGGGCCCACTTGCCCCCCCTCCTCTGTGTGACCGGGGCGTGGAGCTGACGTGACCGCCAGATGGCACCTTGGCCAGCTGTCTTCCGGGGTGCGCCTTCTGCTTCCCGAGGACTCTTTAAGGGCTGGGGTCCCCGGGCTGCTCCCATGGCGTTGGCTTTAGATTTTGAGTGGGTTGTGAGTGCGCCTGAGCCATCCCAGACAGTGTCCCTTCTTTTCTTAGACTAAGGCTCTGAGCTGGAGAAGGGGACACACACACACACACACACACACAGGCAGGTGCATACACGGCCACAGCCAGTCTTGCTGGGCTGGGAAAGGGGCTGGGGTCAGCACGGCCCTGTGGTGCCCCTCGCAGAGCCCTGGGACGCCCTTGCCCTGTCCCGGGCTCGGCCTGAGCCAGCAGGTGTGGGGCGCACAGCCGTGGGCGCTGGCTCTGCAGACGGGACCCGTTCCCCTGAGGAGAGGTGGGGAAGCCATGGCCAAATTAACAGGGGACTGGGCCCCAAAAAGGGCAGGTACAAGTTCAGAGCCCCTGGGTGACCACACTTGGGCTGTAAAGTGGGAGTGGGAGGAGGGAGGCCCCTGCTCCCTGGGGGGCACTCATCTCTGGGGAAATCCCAGGCCCCCCACCCTACAGCCAAGCACAGCCCCCAAAGCCACGGTCCCCATGTCCCCTCCTCTATTTCCTCATCCACCTCACTGTCTCTCCATGGCCTGGACAGACCGAGGGCAGCTGCCACGATTTCATCCCAGAGCATTTGTGGACAGTCTGCTCTATGCCGACTGGTAGGCGGGGCCCTGGGGACACAGGGACATGTGTGACACAGCTCCTGCCCCTGATGAACTTTCAGGCCTGGAAGGATGAGGACCTGACCTTCTTCACTCACCTCCCGCTGGGGGCTGGGCAGGGGAGGGAGGCCTCTGCAGGCAGCTGTCCCCACTCCCAGGGACGGGAAGGGACGATGCTGACTGAGCACTCATCAGGTCCAGGGAAAGGCGAGCGGGCATTGAAACTTAAGCCACAGGGTGACCAGGGGTGAAGGCCGCACGGGGCAGAGGTGCCCTCTCCTCTGTCCTGTGGGCTGGAGCCAAGCAGCCAAAGGACCACGTGGAGCAGCTGTTTGTTCAGCTTCCCCAGGAGAAGCACCTGCCCCACTTGGGTCAGGAAATGTGTGCCCAGTTGTGAATTCTGGTGGTGCCATCTCTACGAATTACTGCTTGTCCTTGGGTGCTGTGTGTGTGTGTGTGTGTGTGTGTGGCCGCAAGAAGTCTTCAGGGAGAAAGAGGAGTGTGAATGTTGTCAGAATCAAAATGAAGTCACTTCAGTCAGACTCTAATACAAGGGAGGCCAGAGGCCATTGTCCCCGTCTGTTTTCTGTTGCTATGACAGAATGCCTGAGGCTGAGAAATTTAGAGGACACCTGCACTGTCTCTAGGGGGTGGGGACTTTCCGGCTCCATCATAATCTTTTAGGAGCACTGAGGGAACTGTGGCCTGCCATGGACCAGGATGCGGCTGGGTGGCCTATGACCGCGTTCAGTCACTTTGCAGAGACACAGCTGCATACACAGAGGTGGCCTGCCCACACGTGCTCCCTGCACCACGTGGACCCCCTCCCCCAGCCTTCCTGTGCCCCGGGGTCCTCACGACACAGCAATCTCAGACATTGTTTGCCGTACTCCTGTTAATGCTGGGGAACATTCCGTCACCTTCCTTTACTTGAATGTGCAATAAAATACACAGACACTTTGGCCATGGTCAGGTAGAGCTGAAGGACAAGGTCCAAGGGGCCGAGAGGCTCCACTGTATTTAGATGGATGCTGCAGACCCTCAGTCTGAATCCCACCTGCTCATCACCCTCCACCTGTAGAAGTAGCTCACTAACTTATGACAAGGGGACACAAGGTCTTGACAAATGTGTGGGACAATAAAAATCTAATAAAGTCCCGGAGGACAACCTGCACACACGAAGAGGTATTTAGACTCTGACTCTGGATGACTTCATGTCAGAGAGACGTTAATTCTCCCAAATTGATCAGTACATTCAATGCCATCCCAATAAAAACTCCAGCCACTTTTTTTGGGGAGGTGGACCTAAAACTTACTTTAAAATTCATATAGCTGGATAAAGGCGTATGAATACTAATCCATCCTTTCAAAGGAGTAAAGCAAAGGACTTGTCGTGCTCGATGTTAAGACACACCATGAAGCCACAGTAATTAAGATGGTGTGGGGGACCGGCCCAGGATCAGACAGACAGACCCACAGAGAACGGAGGGTGAGGGCTGGGCCACGGGGCTCCGTCTGCTGGAGTGCTGGACGGTCAGCCCCGCAGTTCCTGCCTGTCCTGGACCTGTATTGCAGTTAGTTCTATACGGGGACTTAAATGATCACGGTGACCCCACGCATCGTCAGACAGGGGTCGACTGCTCAGTGGATGGACACACACACGCACACAAAGACCCCAGATCAAAGCAACGACTTGTGACAGTGGGGGACTGTTTTGAGGCACTGGTTGATGTCCTTCCAGGGCTCCTGACCCAGCCAGCCCACTCGGCCTCCTGCCCTCCTCGCTGCGGGGACCAGGAGAGGTGGCAGCAAGCAGAGCAGAGAGCCAGAGGGTTGGCCCTGGAGTTCAAAGGCTTCCAGCCTCCGTCGGGGAGGAAGGAAGGTGCAGGCCGACTTGAGGGAGCAGCGAGGAGCGGGGACCTCCAGCCTCTGGTGGGGAAAGGTGGCCTGGACGGGGCAGGGAAGAGGCTGGTGGCCTTGCAGCCCAGGCAGGGTGTGGAGGAGCCCAGGGAACCAGCCTGGGCACTTGTGCTGCCAGATACGAGGGGCACTTGCCCCAGGGGGCATCAGCCCTGGAAACGGCCAGTACCAGCCGAGAGGGTCTTGAGTCTGCGACATGGTGCAGGGCGCCCCCCACAGTGAGGACTGCTGATACGGTCACTTTGATACATTGGGATAAGACAAAATATACCGCAAAACTGAGTTCAGTAGCTTCGTTTCCCTCCTTCCTTTCTGAACGAGCTGAGTTTCTTTCATAAAATTCAGAATGCTTTAGCAGTGCGGAGAGGTGGCCTTCTTTATTTTACAGAAGGGCCACCAGGGGAGAGGTCACAGAAATAACAAAAGCCTCTCTGATAGGTAAGAGAAAATCTGATTGTTGCATCTAGGTCCCCTGGATCTTAGGGTCTATAGAAAATCTCATTTTCCTTTTTTTAGGTGGGGGGGATACTGGGCATTGAGCCCAGGAACACTTAACCATTGAGCCACATCCCACCCCATTTTGAGTTAGGGTCTTGCTAAGTTGCTTAGGACCTCACTGAGTTGCTAAGGCTGGCCTCCAACTTGCAGTCCTCCTGCCTCAGCCTCCCAAGTAGCTGGGATTACAGGCGTGCCCCACCACACCTGGCAAACTTCTACTCTGAAACAGTTTCAAGCTGCAGGAAACTTGGTGAAAAGAGAACAAAGAGCTCCCGTGTATCTTTTATGCAGAGCCTCCCATTCTAGAAGACACTTTTCCTCTTTGTTGTTATTGTTTGCATCTGTACACTTCCCCCGACCGCCTGAGAGCGACTGCGGAAGGACCTCGCCTTGTGTGTTTTATGACCCAGGTGCCCCCTCACCATGCTGACCTGCTGGGCACAGAGGCCAACACGGCTAGTGCTGCAGGATTAGATGGCGTCAGGGTGACTGTCAGTGTCTTCCCCTGCTCCGAGGACAGGGAGGTGTCTCCAAAGTCGCCCGAGTCCCTCAGCCGAGCTGGGCTGATGGCCTGGGGTGCAGGAATGGCTGTTCCCTTGTTTTCCCGTCCTGAGCTCCAGCAGCTCCAGGGCCAGCCCCACTGTGGTCTGTAGGTCCAGCTCCCCCTAAGGCCACACCTAGGGATCCTGCCATCAGGCGTTGCCCCCTGGTGGCCACATCTGGAGCCACAGGCCCGGAACCTGAGCCTGAGGCAAATTTGCTCCAGGGGAGGGGAAGGCCCAGGGACTGCCCAGGGCTTGACCTTGGAGGCCAAGGCTAGCGCTCCAGAGTGCTGCCATCCCTCCAGGAGGCCACTGAGCTCAGAGCTGCGCTCCTGCGACCTCGAGCCTCCCCTTCACGTCCAGTTCCTGGATTGCACCCCGACTGCCCCTGGTCCAGGGGAGAGTCCCCAGTGGCTGGGGAACAGATTTGGGGTGCGACAAATGGGCCCTGAATCTCAGCTCTGCCTCCCAGCTACCTGGCCTGGGGACGTCGCGCAAGGCCATCTGAGTGTCCCCTCGCTGGGCTCTTTCCAGGTGCCCCTGGCTTGTGTTCCCACTCAGGTTCTTTGTCACCAGCCTTTTCCCAGATCCTTGAATCTGACCCTCTGAACTCTGCCCTTTGACCTGCAAACCTGGTCATCTGCTGCGGCAGGACCCCAACATACTCCTGGAAACCCAGGCGCAGGGCGACCCCGGGTCCCAGCGTCCCGGGAAGGAGAGTGAAGGGAGCTGGAGGCCCACCCCTCGGGCTGTGGAGAGGAAGTGGACACACTGGCGGGTCCTGGGCCTCGGTGTCCTCTCTGCAGATCACCGCCCTCCTCTCCTTCCTTCTCCCCCTAACAGTGTCTGTGGACTTCCAGAGAGGAGCCCAGGGCCATTGGGAAGACGGTTTATAAATGCCCAGGGTCCAGCTTCCATGATCAGAATCGGGGGAGCAGGGGAGGGACAGACACCCCACTCTGGGGGAGGCCAGTCCATGTCAGGGCGGCTTCCTGAAAATGAGAGAAGCTGGAGGAGCCAGGCGACGGGGACAGGGCAGGCCCGAGGAGGGGCGAGGGGGCCTGGGGGCAGCAGGTCTTCATCCTTGAGCAAGAGGGAGGGCCTGGTGCTGAGAGAGAGGGGGCAGGCAAAGCCCATCAGCGACAACTGGGCCACACCAGGGCTAGGTTTTACTGTGTAGACAGTCGGGGAGCATTGGGAGTCTACTTTAATTTTATTTTTCCTCTGTTCTTGGATCCACAGGACAGCGGAGGGTATCCTGATGTAGTATACACACAGGAGGGCAACGTCTTCTAATTAGGATCCCGTTCCTGTGGTTGTTCATGGGAGTAGTTTCCCTGGTGGTGGGTTCATATGTCAATATGGGAAAGTTACGTCAGTTCATTCCACTGTCTCTCCTACTCCCATCCCCCTCCCTTCCCCTCACTCCCCTTTGTCTGATCCACTGAACTTCTATTCTTTTCTCCCCGCCTTATTGTGTGTTAGCATCTGCATATCAGAGAGAACTTTGGCCTTTGGTTTGCTGGGACTGGCCTATTTCACTTAGCATGATAGTCTCTAGATCCACCCATTTACCAGCAAAAGTCTTAAAGCCATTTCTTTTTATGGCTGAGTATTATTCCACTGTGTATATGACATGGGTCTTGGAAATCAGGATCAGGTCCTCATTCCCTTGGTGCTGAAGACTAAACACCCTAGAAATGCCAAGACACATGTAGAAAGCAAGTCTTATTTAAGAGAGAGACAGAGACAGACTCCTCTAGAGAGAAAGGGACCCAGAGCTGGGTATCAGCAAGAGTGGCTGTGTCTTGCGTTTCTGTAGATCCCAGGTTCTCCCTCCCTTCCCACCACCTATGTTCCTAAGGGCAGGAAAAGAGCTGCCTGGGGGTCACATAAGCACCTCCCTGTGTGGGGGAAGCAGTTCCCCTGAGGTATTAGTAACCCATTTCCTTTTCTTTGATAATTGGCCAATTAGCCCTCATCCTGTCTAGGCTGACCACCTGTCCTTCACCTGTCTCATATACTAACCTCATTTTCTCTATCCATTCATCTGTTGAAGGGCAGCTAGGATGGTTCCATAGCTTAGCTTATGAATAGAAGGGTCTTTTAATATAAAAACTATAGAATATCTATTTGTTGTAGAAAAAAATTTAAATATAGGCAAACATTAAAAAATAATGCCAAATGTTTTTCCTTATAAAATATGGATTAAAAAATATGCCCTCTCTGGTTGTTTTTGAGTGTTGGGGATCAAACCCAGCGTCTCCCCCATGCTGGGTAAGCACTCCACAATTGTGCACACCCCAGCCCCCAGGGTGATTTTTAAAAAAGCTATTATTTGGGCTTGGGCTGTAGCTCTGAAGTGGCATCCCCTTTCTCCACAGAAAGACTTAACTGGGCTTCTCCAGAAATCTAAACCATGGCTGATTTTAGGACTGTCAGCAAAAGAGTCTCTACAAGAGTCCACTGTAGATAAACTTCCTATTTTCGTGTCACCCTGTTTTACTTGGCCACTGGCCGAGAAGATGCCAGCACTCCAGGTGCTGGACACCCCCTTACTAGTTTTCACAAACATGTATCCAGTATAGAAATTTGAAGAAATGTGCAAACCAGGCTTCACAGAGATGTCTACATTTAAGATAAGTTACAACTGGGCTCCGTGGTAACAGCTGGCAGGGGGCGGAAAGAAATGGGAGAAGAAGCTTTCCCCTTCTCAGGTGTTGTCCTGGAAGAGTTAACCTGCCCACAACAGTGAAAGAAAAAGCTGCTTTATGTGAACTTCTGCAGACTGTGAACTTCTGAGCCCCTCCCCTTACACGCTGGGTATAAAACTCTGAAACTCCCTGAACTTGAGGTTCAGGGGATTGATTGATTACAGCAAAGGCTATGCCCCCTGAACCTGGCTGCAGCCAAATAAAACTGCTATCTTCGGTGCCTTGCCTCGTTTGTCCCTACAACAGCTCAGCGGTACAGTGCCCGCCTCGCACATGTGAGGCACTGATTCCATCCTCAGCACCACATAAAAATAAATAAAGATATTTTTTAAAAATCCTTTTTTAAAAAGCTATAATTCACACGCTATGGAACTCAGCCTCCTGAAGTGTCCGTTCAGTGGATCTTAGCAGAACCCAAGATTGCAAGGCCACCACTAATTTCAGCACATTTTTATCCTCCCAACAAACCCGATACCCAGCACGCGTGGCCCATCCCCTGCCCCAGGCC